CGTCGCCTTTGCATCTCATGTTGAAATGACATCGAGTGAAGTACTTGTAGATATCGTAGTCAGAGAGAGATCATAGGATTCGACGATGATTGTCAGAATTTCTCCAGAATGTCAAGTGAGTTTCTCGAAACTCCGATATTCTGGAAAGAAAAATAAATGAGCGATCTAATTGGTGATTTATAAATTAAATGCTATTTCTACTTTTTCGTTTATTTATAAAGAGTTAGTTAGGTTTTTTATTTAAAATACATTATTAAATCAAATAAATAATTAATAATAAAAAAGAAAGAGTTCCATCTCTTCTATTGATTTTCTTTACAAGCGTGGAAAACAGCTGATTAAGTTAACTTACACGCTCTTTCATAAATTCACGATTTTAATTATATTTCTAAGAGGTCTAGTTATAATTGCATTTACTTATACTTCAACAATAATTGCCAATATTCTTTGTGTTCACTTTACATGTCAATATTCAAAGTGGCGTTTGGTGAAATTTACATTCTCATTATGCCTCGCGTGCGCTTATGTTATAAAAGGGTAAATTAAATTAATAATAAGTATCGCATATCAATCGCATCATATCAATCAATCCATCCAATGACGCACCTGTCGTCAGTACCTGCTCTTCTCTTTCTTATCGTTGTGCATATCACGCGATATAGAAGGGGACGCAGTGGAGCGTGTCCTGCAATTTTGCAGGAATGGCATCGCGAGCCTCTCAGTCACTTTTGATAGCGCAACTTTCTGCGGTATTAAGTCTCTTCATATTTTGTAATCTGCAAAAGTAACATGACATTTTTCAATATATATATAAATTTAAAACATGCTGTTATTATCAAAAGACGATTAAATTTCTTTTAAAAGAATTATAAATTAAAAAGATAATATTCTTAATCAATTTTCCGGTATTTCTATCGCAAAAGGTTTTCGCATTACACAGCTATAGATATTAGATAGCTATAGATGGAGGATCTCTGTGCTCCATCTTATTTCTTGCGCCAAAAAAATTGCGCAAAATTTGGTGAAAATAAAAAATGAATTTTATCCTCTCTTCGCAAAGGATTCTCACCGCCATCCTCCATTTTCGCGGAGGATTCGCGTATCCGCGCGTCTCCTCCTCGCGAAGGCTCGCGTGGCGCTTCGACGACGACCGGTTGAGCGTTTTAGCCGGCCGGCGATCGTGCCGATTCCCTCTCATTGGCCGAGAACCGGCGGTTCTACCGCTCGCTATACCCGCACGACGAGACTCTTTGTCCGTTTTTCGTTCGTTCCGACGAGAGACGAGCGGCGCGCCGTGTGCGAGCTATACGAGAGTCGTGCAGTTGAGAGGGATCTTTCGGTCGTCGCGCCGGGTGCGATTATTGCAGCGGCTCCTTGCCTTCGAATTCGATCGTCCCGATCTCGCCGATGTGCCGATGTGCGTGCGTGCTCTCGCTGTCACTCGCATTCAGCGTCTAAACATCCCGCTTGGCGACAATTATTAATCTATATAGCGTCGACTTTCACACACATGCATGATCGGTTGGAGCGACGTTAATTTCTTCTTATATACAGACGAAGAGTGATATTTCTGTTTCTTGTAGTCTCTGCAAAAAGAGATTGATTGTTGCAGTTATTGGTGTAACATTGATAAGAGAAAAGCAGGTACGTTTAACGATAAATGTGTAACGCGAACAGATGGTTTCTCTCTTGATGATCAGAGTGCGGATCTCTTTGGATACGAAAGTATCGGAGCATTTATAATAATTGCAAAATGTTAATACACTCGTATTCATTGCAATTGCTTTTAGAAAACGCTGCATTAGAATTTTTTCTTTTTTTTTTAAAGAATGTTAATCTCTTTGTGCGTGTGTTCTCTGTTTTTTTTTTGCAATAAGTAACATATGTATCTTAAAATTATTGAGAAATTTTTTAATAGTAAATTTCTCATATCAAGTTATTTTTTCTTAACTTTCTTCTGTAATATTTTATGCTTTTTTCAAACAATAATGCATATGTTTTAAATTGTATTATAAATATAAATTCTCCAGAGTACATATACATATATTATACACAATTTCTATTTTGAATGTGTTATTATCGCATAAACTTACGAATACTTATTATGTATGTAAAACTCTACCGATATCGACCAAGGACGAAATACCAATACATTAGATATACAAGCTAAAAAACAATTGAGTATACAAATTGCATAAGTACTTTGCTGTACATGAGTTATCTACTAACTTATTTACGAAGCAGAGAATTAAAATGATTAAAATATTATCTCAATAATTTTCTACGAAATTTTATAGAATTATTTCTTTTATCTCGGCGTTATAAATCTTTTTACGTGTATGTGTGTGATGGAAGATTAATTAAACGAGAAGAAATTTTATCAAAAAAGCTTGATCGCGCAGATCAAATAGAACGAATATCGCAGAAGACACATCGACGGTTTAATCTCGGTTTCCGATCGCGTCACCCGGTATATGCGAGACGGTTCTATTCTCCCGAGGATCTCGACTTCTTGCGACGACCTTCAGCGCCGTATCACGAAGCCGCCGAAGAGCATTGTCCCGCAAGAGTACCGGCTTTTACTTCGCTCTTCTCGTGCATTTCGGAAAAATCGGAGTCCAGACTTGGTTCAAAAGGGGCGGTCTTTAAGCGACTCTCGATAGACGCGAAAGGGAGTGCCCAGACTAACCTTGACCTTGAGTATACTTGCTATTCTGGCTCTTGCTACGGCTCGCGATAGATTACGATCCTTCGCATTCGTCGTCCTCTCGTCAACGTTTCTCGACCTATAAAGTGAATTGTAATTAGTTGGGCTTTATCTCAATTGATTTTTTTTTGTATTCTCTATATATTCAAGTATGCAAAAGGTTCTTATCGTTTCTACTCGAGTCAATTTATAATTATATTTTACCTCGATATAATTGCTTCCCGCAATTAAGCCTTCTTAAATAAGGTACGTGCTCCCTGCAACGCTACAGGTGCATATGCCGGATGCATGCGCCTCTTTCTTTCATCCATAAAAAATTTCTCCCACGAAGATATCCTGAAACAATTCGAATCACGTTATCTATCGTATGCAATCGCTGTACATTTAGTCTTCGAAACTTGAAAAGAATCAATTATTCTTCCATATATAACTCTATGCGCGATACAAGTTACAAATTAATTTGTAATTATTAGCACAGTTAAAAAAACCTTTTCAAGGTCTCGTCCCATTTTTACCGCAGAAAAATTATAATTTAATTATTTCGCGCGCTGGTGACTTAAACGATCATTAGCCTCGCCATACAGTACAAGTTGTGTTTTACGTTACGCGATCGAAAAAGTCGTTCGTATCGAAAAGGAAATCGGCTCGAGGAGACCGGCTGAGGGAATGGAACCCCTCTAGACGGACGCACGTATGTTCGCCTCGCCTCGCGCGCGGACACCGCTTCGGTCAAGGTCGCAGTCTGCGCGCTTAACGTTCTTTTTGCACGTTCTCTTTCCCGGCTTGTACCGGGTGTTCCGAGCGAAACTGATCAACGAGTCGCGAATTGGTCGACAAAAGCTTTCCTCTCCAACGACGAGCGAGACGATGCGATTGAATTCTGCAGTCTTGGAGAACTTTTCTTATTCGGATGGTTTCTTTCTTCATCTATTAATTTTTTGAAACAGCTTTTCCTGAAAATATTTTAGTTAGCTCTTTTTTAAGTCTTTATATATATGTGTATGTATGATCTTTATAATTGCATAATTAATCAGCGGAATTATTGACTGTAGCAACAGACTTAACAGAGGAACAGTAAGATTAGAGATAGATTTCGTCATGAAATACATTATAAAAAATGTCTCGCGTATGTCCCGTTTAGAATTGATATTTTTCTAATATTTATAGCAAATTTCGAAAAACGCGACCTGCAATTTTCGATGCACCAAGGCGTAACGTCTGGAGGCGCTTCGATTGTATTACGGCGGCGATATGAGAATTTTTTTTCACGGGTACAATGAATTTTAATACGCGTCTCAAGGCCTGTCGACGAAGGTACGTATATGAAGCGGGATTATACGAGACTATATATATATGTATATATACACATATACATACATATATATATGTATATACAGGATACTGTGTCGAGGCTTGGTAACTCCACCACCGTTGGCGGAATCTGACGGCCAATGGGGTACGAGTTTCCTTCTCTCGGCGCGAAAGGCAGCTCATATTACATATTTACAATGCACCAAAGCGTTTTAAAATCTTTCAAGAGCATGCACACACATGTCGCTTTTGCGCGAGAGTATCTTATCCAAGTATCGTCGTTCCCGCGGTTAAGTATACCCTCGCCTGGAGGATGGCAAATTTGTCGATCTCTCGTCTGCAGATGGGAGGTTGAAGGAACCGAATAAGGCAAAAATAGCCGACGTTATAGTTGACAACAATACACCTTTGTTGTAATGTCGACGAGCAAACTCTTGATATTTTAATACAGATTGACGCCGTACCTGTAAAAAGTGAAAGAAATAAAATAATGATGATGAAGAGTGCATGCATATATTTATCACATGTTTTATTCATTATTTCGATTACCACGTTAGTTGTTCATAACATATTTTATGTATCATTTCAATTATTAAATGTCTAAAATACATAACCTCTTTTTTCTAATATTAATCCGCGAGAATATATTAGAACTATTGGTATAACCTATATAATCTACAGAACAATTATATGATTATTAGCTCATATTGTTTATAATCGAGAAAATATAATCATAATTACCTAAATGAGAATATTTCCTTTATATACATTAATTATTTAATATTTATATATCCTCCGGCTAACTTTACGTTACGCTTTTGCAGTTTTTGAATAACAGCATCTGGCGACAGCAGTGACAGAAATGCCCAGCTGACAGCTTACCGACCATTGACATTTACCGACCGCGCCGATTACCATTGGAGCCTCGCCGCGTAGTTCTCGAATTCGCCGCGAGGGGCGCTGCCGCTCGGCGAGAGGTGGGTTCCCACGCGATTGCGCATCAGTTCGCAGATGTTCGCGGAGGAGCGTCGTTGACGTGAGAGAGGCGTAGTGTTTTGGATGTCGTTGTCATACACGACGGCGTCAGGCATGTCCAGCGCCTTGACGTTTCTTTCCCTGATACTCGTCGTCGCCCTGGCGGACTCGAGTTATCCCACGCAACGCACAGTAAGTATATGAATTTTCATACTAGGTTATAGAGAAGGACGAAAACAATGATTCATTGATTCACGACCGACTGGCGTCACGAGAAAAGGATCGCGTGTCTGTGATTCATCGCGCGACTTTGTACTTTCTTTTGTATATATTACGTTCTCTTTGTACTCGGTCTTATTACAGATTTAAGGGAAAGAGAGAGAGAGAGGCCTCCTACTTTGACATGTATAACCTATATGATATAACCTCCGAAAGATGCTTTGGTCGTTCGTGGGAGTGTGTATTCGTACATCGCGCGTAGAAGCTTATTATGATTTCGTTATCATTAATAAACAGGTGGATTCATTGATAAATTGGCCGCTCGTGTAATGGCTGATCGGATAAGTGGCAACCAAGCGCGACCTGAATCGCTCGAGATCTAAGGGCATGGTCGATCGTAATGCGCGTAAAGGACATTTAATTATTAAATTATGACGCGGATTGAGAAACGGGATTTTCATTCCAAGCTTTTAAATTTTATATCACAAATGACCTCTATGTAATAAACTCGGTATAATATGCAGCAAACTCGGCTTGGAGTTTCGGTAATTTTCCAATGTTTTGTTTATTGTGATCTCTCTATCTTTCACTCATAACTTCCGCAACAGATTACTTAAATACGATAATCACGTTATCGTTATATGCCTCTTTATGAGATATTTTAGTCACTTGAGATAACATTTTATCGATCAGTTACCATAATAATAATATTAAAAAGATATTACGAAGAAAGTAGAAATTTCAATTAATTGTTAGATACTAACGTCAGTCCATAAATCGTTATTAATTATATATTTATAAATTGTTAAAATATTTGTTGCATTTCAAGAAATCCGTGATTATGTTTCCATGATATACCTTGCCTAGGGTCTTAAATTTATAATAAACTCAAGTATCGATCCCACGAGTGTGAATTAATAAATATAAACCAACTTGAAGAGAACCGGCACACGCTAACATAACTATGTTAAGGCTCTCTTGAAAAAAAAGGAACAAGAAAATCTGTCATACGCGAAGTATATATTCATCGCATAACTGTGTTAAAAGTGAAAAATGAAATGCGCACGTGGTAATCCACAATTATTCTATCGCGAAATAGGATTTATCTTTTATTCCTCGTATATAAAATCCACAGAAAGAAATAATATTACGATAATCAAATATAAGCTCGAGTACTTTTACATCGAGCGCGTCCTTGCACTCCTTTCCCTTTTTTCCGCGAAAGGAAGAGGAAAGGTGCAATTTACTTCGCGTTTCGCACGGGATTATAAATACTGAGCCTACGCATCAATCGCAGATTAACGTAACGCGGTGTAATGAACGACATGCGGCCATTGTGTAAGCTCCGCGAGGGCTTTTGATAGGAACGATGCAAGGCCGTCTGATCTGGGTCATCCATCCGTTAAGCGGTCGCCGTTTTATAATCGTCGCACATGCGTACATATCTGCGATGATTTATAAAACCCTCTCGATTTATTCGCAGTTACGATCGTGGCTGAATCCGGATTGCGACGATACGTGCCGGGGGCGGAACGTGACGACCCTCCACTTGGGTGCAGATGGACGGAACGACACGTTGCATTACTTATGGGATTTCATCGGCACCCCGTCCTTACTTCTGGCGCTCACGCCTCCGTCCACCACGCTCAACATCAGCTGGGAGAATTATCTCGCAAGACGCGAGAACTCGCTTCACTTTTCGGAGAAACCCCTCTATACCTTCGGCGTGATAATAAATAAGGTAATTCCCTTTTGCACTCCTCTCTCGCGGTGTCCGACGATTAATTATATAGGATGTATATACATACTCTCTCGAAAACCTTGGAAACTTGGTATTTTCATAAGAAAGATATTATTCTATTATTTAAATTATCCCTTTGATAATTTTACTTTTATTTTTTACTTAATACACATTTTGCAATATTTTAGTTTTTGTGAAAATTTCATGTAATGTTTTTATTGACATTCTTGATATGAATAGAAAACATAGAAAGCGCATACAATAACAAAACTTATTTTAAAAAGTTGCATCTACAGACTTATTTTATCTGGAATTTTAAATGAAAATACCTGGAAGATCGGGGAATTCTCAGAAAACTTTTACACTTAAGTAGACACTTGTAATTGCACGAGAGTGAATTTATTTGATGAATGCGCAGGATAAGTTCTGTCACAAATAATTAATGTAACAAAAATGATTCTTTTATTTTGTCATATTGTCAATCGAAACAATTAATTTTGTTAATTACGTGTTGAATTAATTTTTCTTTAAGAAACTAAAATGAATATCGTACATTAATTCGATTGATAAAAATAGTGACAAGATAATGTGTAAAAAAAGCGATCGATGAATCACAAAATTTTTACAGTTGTGATTGATGATAGATTGCACGAATTAAATATAGAAATGCGTTAATGTAATTTAATATATATGGAAACATAGAGATATGTAAAGATAGCATGTTGACGAGAAACTTGTTACTTTAAGATTTATTTCCATCTTAAACTTGAACATAAATCCATGTGAGTGACGTAAATCCACTCGTCGCATTTTCCTTTGCCGAGTACGGAGGGTGCATTTGCGGTTTCTTAATTAAACCTTCGTACTTCAATTTGTCTGCACTTTATAGAAACACCTCCTTAGGTCGAGAGGCTTTTCTCTCTCTCGGAGGACACACGTGTATCTCTCTGTACGATTTTGATACATTGAAACATAGCGAAGCGCAGAATACGAAATGCTTCATTAAATTAAATTAACTTAAATTTCTAATAAAATTTACAACACAGTGCGTTATGATATATCGGATAATATATATTCGTTTCTTGTTCAATACATTAATTCTCTGTACTATTAGCATACGAAACAAATTTTGAGAATGCGCGATATTAATCCTCCGCATTGTAAAATACATAATCGACGAATTGAAAATTGATTCGCGTTATTCGGTTGATGGGATTAATGGTTAGCGTACAAAGCAGGATGTCCATAGCAATGGGCAAACAAGTTTTCGCGCGATCGAATGCATTTGTCGAAAATTTCGAGCGCGAGATGCATCACCGGGATTGTGGTGATTTAATTCAGTTAATTTTATTGGTTTTAATGTGCAATCGCGCGCGTGCGAGAAATTGCGATATATCTATCTATATTTAATCGCACAGTTTCATCACCGTCGAACGATTTGATATTTCGTCAAGTACTGTTACGATTTTTGCATCAATAATGAAACGATATGCATTTATATGTAGATTGTATTGCATTGCATTGTGTTGCAGATTATCGAATTCGACGATGTAAATGACACGGCACTGATTGACACTGCCAACGTCGCTAACGTGAACATTTTGCCTCTCGAGTATTTCAACTGGCAGCGCGTGTCCTTAACGCAAAACAGCGAATTCGTCTCCCTGGATATGGAGGGTAACTCTTATCACGATACAGCTAAGAATATCAGCAGAAATGGGAGTATAAAGCTTTCGGTAAAGTATTTTGCAGCATTCAAGAGAAAGTATGTGATTGAGGTAGTGTGTAGTAAAATGCATGCAAAAATATAATCAATTATGTGTTCTCGAATAAGAAGTACATTGCAGACACCATTTCGAGCCTGAACTAATAAATATTATATGCTTTCTTATCTTTTTTTTTCTTGTGGTACAAAGCGCTTGCATCTTTCCTAAACGCTATTAAGCGTTTGTACCCTCTCCCAAAGCACTAATATTCTTTACTTTTTCAGTTCCGAGGATTCTGCACTCTTGATCATTCGGATATGGTGCCTCATATGTTGCACACGGAGAATTCTACACAAATAGACATCATCCTGGATCGTCTGCAGACCAACAAAACGTTTTCCAACAGTAGATTCGCTATTGAATTGCTCGTGGTTGGTGGTGGTGATCCTGAAATACTAATGTTCGTTGATCCGAAAAAGAGTCTGGATGACGAGCACACACCAGGTATTTTCGAGGTAATAAATTATAGGCGTTTATCATTTCAAACCGGCCTTTTTATTTTTTTGTATAATTGAAAGTTTTATTATATTAATTAATTTTTTATTATGATTTTTAGATTGTTGAAGTTCGAACACCACCCTATAGAGAACTGGACAGTGCGTTAAACGGTGGAGCATATTTGCAATGGCGACCGGTATCGTACAATAGCCCATTACGTGACGTAACCAGTTCTACAGAGACAACGCAATATCCACCGAAGAAAGTGTTCGGTTATACGAGTGCTGTTAAAGATACGATGCTGTATTGTTATTACGGGAACAAGACAGATCTTCTTCTACAAAGTTTAACGATTTCTTTGGGCTCGAAAGGAGACGGTTTCTACAAGAAAACGAATTATTTGACATGGTGAGTAGTTGCAAAATTTTTCTTGAATTTTATTTCGAAAATACTATAACGAATCTTAAAAAGTAGGAGAATTTATATAATTTGTTCAAAGGATAAAATATTATGTTCCAATCTTATATTGCAGGACTTTTATAATCGGTTATGGTACACCACCCGAGGAGAGATTCTCTTCTCTAGTCATTATGATTATCTCGATTGGCCTCGGCCTTCCTTTGCTCATTATGGTCATTACTGGCCTGTATCTTTGCATTCGTCGAATGCCGAAGCAAAATGGCAACGTTTATTTAAGTCGATAAACTCGACGCACGTGCCATATGGTTTTTGTGTACGTTGCGCATTTAGGTGCATCGTTACATCATATGTACCACCACTGTTTTACACAAAGAGATATTCCTATATTTATATATGCGACACACATATATATATATATATATATATTTTTACACCAATTGTTAGTTCGGATCTGACATCAGTGTGATAAGCATGAGTGATGATCTGTTCTCTCACAACTTATTTAGCATTAAATGAGGCGTTAGTGGTTGTTTAGCTCTTTACTTTAATATCTTAGGATAATATGTATACGAGATACTACATATCGCGCGTGTTGATAGTCGAATAAGTATTTAGAATCAACCACATTTGTTTCTCTGAATATGCTATGAGAGGACAGCGTGTTAATTTGTGCAACGAAACATTGAACTTTTCTAGACAATTTGTAATTGTATGCTGTGTGGTATGTATGTACGTGCGTACGTATGTATGTGTGTGTGTGTGTGTGCATGCGCGCGCTTGCGTGCATGATTTATGAAATATATATCTTGCAATAAGTTGTACTACATTTTATGTGGTCCCTTTATGACTTTTCCACCTTTATCATCATCAAACTAAAATATGATAATATCTCGCTATATATATTTCATGTCATGTATTCGCATTGAATTTTTTTCAATTTCCGCGTGAAACATTTTTGAAAACTGATACATATTTCCCTATTAATTTATACATACAGATTTACGCGCGCTTCCTTGTTCATATAATTTTTCCAGTCTTATATTCACATATACAGATTTATGTTTTTCATCAGTATCATGTATAAAGCACACATGACATCTCATTTACGAACCTCGGCAAGAAAATTGAATGGAACTTTCCCCAAGTATTTTCGATCAACGAGAAGAGACTAGTCGCCTACGAAAGGAGGATCCGAAAGCGACGAGCGGACGAAGACCCGTGTCAGGGTATGACAATCCTCGCGGATGAGCCAGCCAGGGGTGTGCTCGGAGAAATATCGTCGAAAGAGGGAAGCGAATGTTTTCAGGCAGTGGTAGTAAGAAGTGGCGCGGTATGGTACCAGGGTTCCCTCTGCACGTCGCGGGGGCGGCACGTCCACCACGGCACGATGGAGGGGTACGTTTTCATTGATCCGCCCCGTGCTACGGAAGCGCACCACGCAAGCACTTACAAGCCCTGAACGGAGCATTGATCTCGCCCCGTCTCGGTGGATACTTGGACTGCGTCGCCTCGCCACGAACGAAGGGCGCAAGAGCTCGGCATTTAGCCTTCGAGGGAAGAGAAATCGCGTTTTTCGCGCCCCCGTAGCGTACGAATCCCTCGTCCTCGGGTTGTTGTGTCGGCCAGAAACGACGACCGAGGTAGGCTCTCACCTAGGAAGAGCGGGGACGCGTGCGGCGGGGGTAGCTCGCGTAGCGGATCGCGAATGGGGTATAGATAGGAGGGTGCAAAACGGGGCGCCCCGTGACTAGTTGCCGCGGAGTCCGCTGCGCGAAAGACTGGCGCGTGGCGATGCAGTAAGATTCGCGTTTTGGTTCGGACTCGTTCACCGCGACAGTCGCTTTCGCGGTACCTACCCCGAAGACGCAGATAGAGAAGGAACACCTCGAGGGAAGAGTTGGAGAAAGTAAATTCTGGTGGAACACTCGCCAAAGAGAGCTTTGCTGCGACGAGAGCGGAGACCTCGACCTGGCGTTTACCAACGAGCGACCCTTCGTACCGGCCGCGTTGCTTCGGGGGAGAGAAACGTCAAGGAGGGGAAAGAGCGAGGGAGAGTGGTGGTAGGTGGGAGAGGTAGAGCGAAAGAGGACACGGGGTGTTCGAGAGAGAGAAAGAGAAGAGGGATTGGAGTAAGAGAGACGAGGAGAACGGATCGTTCTCGCGCGCGCGCGCGATCGGCCGTACATGCGTGTGTGCATATATATATATATATATATATATGTGAGAGAGTGTAAGCTCGCGCGCGCGCGCGTGCGTGTGTGTGTGTGTGTGTGTACGAGCGTGCAGCTCGTAGAGAGAGAGTCGACGAAAGAACAAAGGGAGTGGAAAAGAAGAAGGATCCACTTGGTGGATCCCTCGCTGGTATAGGCAACTGTAAGGGACTTGAGAACGGGCGACAAGTGGTCGCACATCACCCCTAATCGGATCCGTAAGGAGAGTAGCCCCGCGTCAACACGGGCGACGCGGCGGTCGGACACGAACGCGTCGACGGGCCTGTCCCCGAGGAAGGGACCGTCGCGCGCAACGCGATCAATTTTCGTTGCGGCGCGCGAGCGGCTAGTAGGACCGTAGGACGGACGCGAGACGAAATGACGAGGCAACCGAGGTACCGATAACCGGCCGGATAATGTTGTCGCAGAGCAAGTTTTACGCTCTCTTCATCCACTACACTTTCGTGTAGCGCGACACGGGGCGGGTCCTTGCCGCTGCGGTGAAGAATAGCGAAGAAGGTGGTGTAGGAAGAGAAAGAAGGTGGAGCAAGGAGGAATAGGAGATAGTGAAACCAGAGGAAGGAAAAAGAAGAGGAAGAAACAAGATTCGCCTCGAACAACCGCATAGCTGCCAAATTCGGAGCAGGTTGAAGGAAAAAGCGGGATCCCAAGTGGAAGAAACAGACCACACGGGCCGGTACACATACACACAACATACACACATACACGCGCGTGTGCATGCATGCAGGGGAAAAGACCATCGCCGCCACGTCGTCGGTCGTTCTTCTTCTGCATCGTCGATGTGAAAAAGTGTGTATCTCAGTGTGTCGTTGCACGGTGCTCGGTTGTGCTACCCTTATCTCGAGGCTGAACGAGCAAGGCCCGCGGAGGTACCCCAGAACCCGCCCCCTTCTCTCCCCTCGACGTCGCAGTGCCTCTCTTCTTCTCTCCATATCGCTACGTCACGCTTCTCTTTTACGTTCGCAGCGGTGACCATCTACGTTGGAGAGTGTTCGACCTCCTCGATCGTAAGTGTCACTCGTGTAGCGTTATGCGTGTCCGATCGCGGAAGCATCTGGAAGGATCGGAAATTCTTTCTAGGTGTTTCCCCAATTTTCTACAAGTTTTTCCATTTAGATATATACCTAGTCTAGATAGTTCGTTCCTACGTAATTCGCGGAGATCCCTCGGTCAGCTGATGGAAAACAAATTTGTTACAGATTATGCAGGGAAAATGCTCGATTTGTCTTTTCGTATGAAAATATTCCACGCATTTTGGAAAACTCGTTGTCGTCTCTTTCTCCGAAATCAAATCGCGCGAGTTGCTCACCTCAAAGTCATGTCTGATCTTTCGACGCGTGATAGGGTTACAGAGAGATGGCTCTCTCGACGCACAAAGATGTGAGGAAATTCGTGATATAGAATCATGTTGAGATACGCGAGAAACTAGTTTATAAACTCTGAAATTTTAGACTTAGGGGATATCAATTATATATAATGCAATTTTTATATAAAAATGTCAGATTTTTATTTCGCTTGATTATCGCAATTATTTCGCGCTGTTTGTAATCAGAATTTTTATTTTATATATTTTTAAAATATGAGATACGTATATCGGTCACAATGTGACACGATGGACTGTTTGACATTCATGATGGAACCAGGGGCGTAACTACTTTAAATATAGCGCAAGCAAGCAAGGTGCAGAGGCACATGCGGCGCGAATACGAGGGCGTACATTATAATCATACATATTAACAAGATAATGGTTGGCATATGAAGCTGAGCTAATGATATACCCATCGTGTATAACTAGCGCATTTAAAACGATAGCGGAATCAGTGTGGCATTTATATTATTTGGTGTCAAGAAAAATATAAAAAAATTTATGTTTCATTTTTTTTATTGAAAATGAAATTGATAAAAAAAAAATCAGCATTTTTTGATATTAATAATTTTTTTATCTCAAGCTAGTTTTATTCATATCGACGAATTTTAGGATCTTGACGAAATGTCGCGAATAGCCTTTCATCCGCGTGAAATGACATTCCTGAAAGAGATATCGATCGAAGGCTCGTATTATTATTCCTTTCGCGTTTTCGAAGATTCGCCAGATATAGCGGGAGAAGGACGAGATATCAAACGTTACATAATATTGCGGTGCCGAAACGTTCGAGGGTTTTCAGCGCGAGAGCGAAAAAATCCTAGTTTGACAGTTCGCCGCGGACGAGAGTCGAGTGGAGCGAGTCGAGCGCGGGTCAGACGCGCCGCCAGCCGTCCGACCAGTCGTTGATTCGACTACTTGGAGTGGCGCGTGCAAACGATGCGGCGCGGCGCTCCGAGCTGCGTCGGGGGTGCACGTTTTTTTTCCATGCACACGTCGTCGTTTACGGTCTCGCGGTCTAACGAGGTCTCGATTACGAGGCGCGATTATACAGAACGGCAATCGAATCGTTAAGGGTGTGTGTGTGTGTGTGTGTGTTGTGTTTCGTGCATATATATATATATATATATATATATGTCGCGTAGCGTGACGCGGCGCTCTGCGGCTGCCATTTTCGATATATCGATCGACGCTTACCGCGGTTCAGGGATCGGTCGCCGACGGTGATGATCGGCGCGAGGATGCGTCCAGGAATGGATTTGCATTTATACAGAGAGATTATGCAAGCGGTGTGGCTTTCGTTTAGCTTGCACGTAAATTGTCTCGGCAAGGATTATCAATCGATAACGCACGGCTAGGAAAGCTTTCTCGCATCTTTGACTGACAAACTTCCCCCTGCAATTCATATTCCAAGGTAATAAAAAACTATAATCCATATTCGCAAGTAGTACTTATGATATAAGTAGTCTGTGTTCTGTTTATAGACCTGATTTTTTTATAGTTCTCAACTTAGGAATATATATATTTATTAGAGAGAGGAAAATCGAATATAGAGAAACATAGTAAAAAAGCTCTAATAATATTTTATCTTTTGAACATATAATATGTATATTTTTTTATAAATAAATATACAAAGAAATGTTATAATATTTTTAAGTTAAAAATGTTTTTTTTTTTAATAAGAAAGAGCAAGTCGCTTAATATTACATTATTAAAATATTACACTACTAGAGAATATTTAGAGCTTACAATGTTTAGTATAATAAGTACCTATCATATATTGTGAAGAGAACTTGGATATTTTATTGCTGACGCATATCAAGTAAATGAAATACTGTTCATACTCTTTTATATTTTAGTCTACAACTATGTTAGATATATTGAACCCTAGGGAGCTATCATAAGATTATCGAAATTAAAATCTATATAAACTTTATTTTACAAATCAACAAGAGAAAGATTTAAAATATAAAGAGCACAAATTAAATTATTATCTGGAATTTTAATGTTGAAAAAAATGTATTCTAAAATCTGCAAACTCTTTATTGGCGAGCTAAAACATCGCGATTTTAGTCACGACTTGCATATAAAAATGACAATTAAGACTGCAATTAATATCGATTCTAGCGTCGTCGAATTGATCGATTATGTCGCGTTTACGGCAATGATTGTGACATGTCTGGTAGCTCTGGTGACCTTCCTCCGTGCGAAAATTGTCGGTCAATACGAGCT